AGGTGAGATCAGGTTCTGCCTGACTCTGCCCAGCGAGGACCGTGTGGCTTTCATAAGCACCCGAGTCCAAGGAGAGGCCTTCTCCAAGTTAGCTGAGTTAACTGGAAAGAGCTTGTGTTTTCCTTTGCACTTGATTGAAAATAATATGACATTACTCATCACAGTTCTTTAGGCTTGCTGACTCTCTCGAGATGTCCTCTGGTAACACCTTGTTGGGGTATGTGGCAGAATATTTAGCCTTGTGTTCAGAAAGTGATAGCCTAGGAGTTGGGGCTTGTTTCCATGGGATGGAGATTGAGTGTTATGTTTGTGAACAGAAATGGATATGCAGGGTGATTTTTAAACTTTCCAGAATACTTCAGTGTGCATGGAAGCAGACTGCATGCTCAGCTGCACCCCAGGGGTTAGCAGCAATCTTCATTTCTCTGTCCCTTTGTTCAGGCATTGTGTGTGTAACGTTTCTTACCTGGGCCAAAAGTCTCACTAAGTTCCTTTCTGTGTTTCTGGAATGACAGACCGATGGTAGAAAGTGCAATTTGTGTTACCTGATAGAGTCACTGCTGTTCAGTTCTATAGCTTGAACTGCTTCAGAGCTTCCTCAAAAACAGTGTGTATATGATTGCTTGCATTTGCTGTTGCCATAGAAAATTTGTGTCCCTCATCTCAGGTCCTGTTACACGCTTTTTGAATTTGAGCCTGGCAGTCTGAGCTTCATGGCTCAGTGACCTCTGAATAGCTCCTCCTGTACCTGTTGTAACAGATAAAACTGTCACATCATAGTTCTTTTGCCCCCGAAATGCCAGAGGTAGGATGGTGACACCTGCTGAAACTTGCAGTGATTTCTAATGCTTTACTTCACAGGCTTCTGTTCCACACAACTCAGTTTTTTAATTCAGCCCCTCATAGGGCACCTGTGCCCCAGTGAGCTCGATGGGGTGAGGGATGGACTTTCACAGTGGATCTCCTGATTGTCCCTGCCTGCTATGCTTTACTGCATCTGGCAGAGCATTTTCAAGGCACATGACTGAATTACTTTTGTCTGAAACTAAGCTGGAAGATGCCTCCTTGGAGAACACCTATCACAGCTGCTAGTGGACGTTCAGTGGATGGCAACAGACTTGCCTGAAGTCTGCAAAACGTGTATTGTGGATGCTGGGTCCTTTTTTCACTCCACAGATGTTTTAGTTCTGGAGCATTATTTACTAGCATAGACTTGGCTGTGGGAGGTCAGGTGTCAAGAGTTTCTGGATCTTTTGGTGACAGCGAGTTCCCTTCTCTTTTAGTGGAAGGATCACTATATTTGCCTGCACTCTTAATTTTATTCAAGCTACCTTTGTTCTTGTCATCCTGATGCCTGCTTGCCATATGAAAAATCTCTCGGATCCTCCCTCTGTGAATAGCTGTGCCCATGGATCAAAGCACACTATGCAAGTGGCCACAGGGCCTGTCGCTGAACTCAGTGGTAGAGTCTGGACAGAGCTATGTAATCTTGGCTGTTTGTTTTGTACTAGACCTTGCTGGTACAGCTAGCCTTTAACCTGAGATAATACAGTGTATTTGGTGTATTTTACTACTGTAATATTCCTTAAAATGAAAGTTGGTGGGGAAAAAAAAACTAACCTTGCTGTAGCTAGCCTTTAACCTGAGATAATACAATGTATTTGGTGTATTTTACTACTGTAATATTCCTTAAAATGAAAGTTGGTGGGGAAAAAAAACTATAATATGTCACTAGAGTTGGTTATAATTCATTACATTATATAATTACAATACCATTCTCTGTGTCAGATAACTGATACTGGAGATAAGGATTATTTGATTTAAATCCTTACACTTTTTTTCCCTTTCCTTTACAGAAAGTGGATGTTCCTGTGATGCTGAGACACCTGCGGGAGCAGAGGATGTTTATGATCCAGACCATAGCACAGTACAAGTTTGTCTATCAAGTGCTTATCCAGTTCCTGCAGAACTCCAGACTTATTTAATCTTCTCAACATCCCAGCCCTGTCTTTGTGGCTCTGACTGAACCTTACATCGAGGGGAACTGCCTTGACAACACTGTGTGCATATACTGCACTTTTGAAAGTTGTCTGCAAAGTAAGGAGTGATTGTTCTTTACTAGAGTCTCCCATGGATTATTTTATACAGGATATAATTTATTTTTCTTGGAATAACTTGTGAATTACTTTAATAACTTGTAAAACTTATAGTGACCTACAAATTGAACCACATTTGACTTGACTGATCTGCATTGTAACATGTCCATACAGAAAGCAGTCCTTTGTAAAGGTAGTTTACTGGCTTTTATTTTGCTACACAGCTTCTGAAATGAGCAGTTATTTGGCAGGGGGCTTTTCCTCCTGTAAGAATATTTTGGACCCAGATATGTGGCTTCCATGGTAAAAACAAGACCTGCTAGCTGTCAGCTGCAGCTCTGGAGGAGTGGAAGCTGGAGAACACAGTTCTGGAGCAGGGAGATCTGAGTCTCTGCACATGCAGCTGGGCCTGTTCCAGAGGGCTCAGGCAGAGGACATTGTGAGGCAGAGAGTTTTGGGTGCTAAACTGTTCAAATTCCACAAGAATTACGGTTTTGGATTGGTCCTTGAAAAAATCAAGGTGAGATCTTTCAAACAAGGCTTTTGCTACTGTCTGCAATCCTTGAAGGGGTTCATAAGAGTTGGAACAGTGCAGGGCGAAGTGCAGTGACCCAGAGGAGGCTGAAGTCAGCGAAGGAGTCTTCCCAGTAACTGTGGTGGGCTTGTGGGTTGAACAGCAGAGGAATTTCAACTAAATGCACCTGAAAAAAACACTAATCAAGCACCTTCTCATGAATTACACTGAATAGGTTTTTATGCCTTGATGCTCACCTCCTGGGGAAAAGGAATCTCACTGAAATTAGGCATCTCCAGTTGCCTTAGGTTCGTATGTGAACTATTGACTTCAGCACTATAATAATTCCCCTTCCTGGTCGTTTGAACTTTTTCAACATTATCAGTGTGGTCTTTCCTCCACCTCTGAGATGTCCCAGTGGTGACCCTTGAGAGCATTAGCTCAGTCTGCCTTGATTCTTCCCCCATCACTGTCTTGTGATTTATGAACATATGGAGCGATCTTCCTTTTAGTGTTGGCAGACCTCATTCTGTAAGGGTGGTTTTTGTATGAAATTGCACAGCTCTCTCTCTGGACACCTTGAATTCTCCTTCTTATTATGACTATTTATCCTAGTACTGCTCAGATTCCAGTTAGGATTAGGAGGATGTTGTATAAATAGGTAAAGGAGAAACAGTCCTTGCCAGAAGTTCACAATCAGAACAGAAAAGGGAAACAAACCTCCTACACTGTGTAACTAGGGCACAAATTCTTAGCTGGCTTGCCCAAGGCCAACAATGAAATCTATGACAGAGCTAAGAAAAAGTCCCTGTGTCAAAGTATCTCATCAGTTCGATGTGTTCTCCTCTCTCTTCGTCATCCTCTGTCCCTCCCCACAGCTGTGGCTGTGTCACACAACTTAGTGCATGTCCCTTGCTTCAAACTCTTTATTTTGCTGGAGTAAAACACATTATGAGTGACCTTGGTGTGTGTTGTTTAGGAGTGATAATAGCTGCACTTCAAAAACAAAACTTTCAAAGAGAAGAAAAAGAAAATGTTTAGGAAGCTGTGGTGGGACTCCCACAGTATTATTTCTGGTGTAACAGACAGAAAGTTCCTACACTGAGATTGCTCCTCTCCTCACACTGATTGCTCTTTCTCATCTCTCCATGCTGCCACCCTCCCCTGGGCAGTGGAGCCCTGCTTTGCCTTGGCAGCCCTGCTTTGCCTTGGCAGCCCTGCTGGGTCACTAGAGGATGGATCTGACTGGGAGAGGAGCCTTGGGAGGTCTCTGGTCCCAGCCCTGCTCACCCCAGGGCTAACTTCAGATAGGGCTGCCCAGGGTCATGTCCAGTTTCAGAAATCCTCACGGGTAGAGATTTTGCAGCCTCTGGGGGCACAGGATGCACTGCAGTTACTCTGCCATGCTCTCTTGGGATCCCTTTCCCAAATAATCTTTAAGGCTCACCCTTGGTTTTCCACTGCATCCCTACCTCAGGCCCCGTGGTCAGTGTACAAAGGCCCAAGCCTGTAAGCACTCCCAGCTTCAGCACTGACCTACACACTGCACACCTGCCCCTCCCTAAAACCAGTGGGAGCTTTGGCTAAGGCCAAATACCAGAATGCTTCTTAAACCTGTTACAACTGCTCCGTGTTGATGTGGTGCTCTGCAGTACAGGGGTGACAAGGGGGCATTCCAGCTGCCCCCCAGCAGTGAGGAGTTATTTAGCTGTGTTCCTTCACTGTGTTCCTTTGAGGAGCCAGTCAGGTTTTCAGTCAGCTCCAGTTTTCCTCTAATTTCTTCCGCCAATGCCAACATATCTCTTGTTAAATTAGCAACAACCATTTAAAGTCTTTTCAGCAGCATCTGCATGATAATTGCAGAGAGATGCTTTATAGCTGGGAAACGAGCCAAGGAATAAACCTTGAAGCAAAGTATATTAAATTAGCTATCTTGTTATAACTTTCTGAATAATTTCCTAATGATGAATTAAGTTTGAACTCGGAGCTGTCAAGTCCCATTGCTCCACTTGGATGTGAGAAGTCGAAAATGAGGAGGGAAAAGAATCTGTTCCTATGTCTCATTATTCAGCTTTTCTTGGCTGAAGCATGTTCTGCTGTTTCTCCAGTGAGCAGAGGGAAGTTATTGCATAAGAGAATGTGAAGAGCTGTGTTTGAAAGGAAGAAAATTAAGCCTGTCTTTTTTACGCAAAGATGCATCATAGGTGTCTTAGAAAAATATTAATTACAAAACGGCACAGAAAATCCTTTCCAAATTAAGTCAGTGCCTATTAATGAGCCAAATAAGTGCCCGTGTAGTAAACAGTCATTTCCAATTAACTCCTGAGGTGGCTGGTATGGTAGATAGAGGCCAATGTGACTCAGTTTTTCCCTTTCATTGTCAAAGAAGAATTGTAAACTTTTCCTTTCATCTGACTTCAGTGTATTTTTTCCTCCTAGATTTTTATCTTGGCTAGATCTGCTAATATCCCAAGTGAATTGGGCTGGTGTATATCTTCAGAGTTTTTCTTCCACCCCAGCTTGCAACCCAACTTCATTGTGCCCGTGTTTTATGATTGAAATGTGATACAGTTTTGTAGGGGAAAAACTGAGCCCTCTGACTTTGAACCTGTTGTAGTTTTATCAGACCAAAATTGCTCGGGCAGCATTTCCTAACCTGTAGGGAGTGACAGGAAAATGTATTTTGCATCCAGTTTTATTAGTCATAGCAGGAATGAACGTGTGAGACTTAAAGCAACAGCACCCTTTATTTTCTGGCCCACAGACTTTAACCACAGAGCCCTTGAGTAGGAAAGGGGAGGGTTTGAAGCGGCCGTATGTTGTGTTGCAGGGGTTGTAACAGGGAAGAGTGACAGTGGATGGGTTCTAAGAGACCAGTTTCACCTGTTTGAGAGATTTTCAATCCAGACCTCACTCCAAAGACTCACCAATGGTCAGTGAACTGACAGGGGCAGTTTTCTGGCCCACGTTGCAGTCTGGTGTGTTTAGCCCATGCTCCCTGATCCTTCAGAGAGAATTTGGAGTTGATGAGCAAGCATGACGTGGCAATCTCTTGTGTATCTATCTCCTTTTTGTGCACTATTCATCTCTGTGTAACACTATTGGGTTTTTGTCCTTTAAACTCTTGCCAGTGGTAGTATTGATGTTGCTGGCACCAAATTTTTGGTTCAAGGTGCGGTCTGAGCATTTCATGCCCAATGTGGTCCCATCAGCGTTGGGAGAGATGATGGCTGAGATTTGACACAGCTCAGGTCTCTGTGTCCTGTATCTGTCCTCCACAGGCTGTACTGGAGGACAGTGGACATCAGTCGCTTAGGTTGCATGTTCCAGCTCCTCTCCAGGCCTGCTTTGGCACCTCTTGTCCTTGATTTCCTGAGAAAAGATGAATCTGGTTCCCACAAACTTTCTTCTGGATAGGGACCCTAAGTGCTCAGAGGCCTTATCAGAAGTACCTTTTCCCTGAACTCGTTTCAGCTGGCAGGAGACACATCTGTGAGAACTTACTCCAGCTAGTGCTAGTGGAGTCCTTTATAAAAAGTATATTGAAGGACACTCCTGTTCTACTTACTTAAATCAGTTGCTGAGGCTACAAATACAATTAAATATTTGCCTGATTTCAAGAGGCCTTTTTTTAAAATTACTTTCTTGGAAACAGACAGAAATGCAAATGACAAAACACAGGTTGGAAAAGAAGGAGTCTTTGCACTTCAGTTAGAGATGGTAATTTTAAGCTAAGAAATTATTGTTTGAGATTACCAGAGCTGATTTGAAAGGGAAGCACTGCATCAAAACATCTAACCTGCATGAAACCACCCCCCTACAGAAATGGGTACAAGTCTGCTACTGTGTAGCCCGAGTCACATGGAGTTTGGAGGTGGGTTTTGATGCTCACAGAAAGGTTTTGAGTTGCAAATGAGAAAACACAGGTTGGAAAAGGAGTAAGTAAGTCTTTGCACTTCAGTTAGAGATGGTAATTTTAAGCTAAGAAGTTATTGTTTGAGATTACCAGAGCTGATTTGAAAGGGAAGCACTGCATCAAAACACCTAACCTGCATGAAACCACCCCCCCTACAGAAATGGGTACAAGTCTGCTACTGTGTAGCCCGAGTCACATGGAGTTTGGAGGTGGGTTTTGATGCTCACAGAAAGGTTTTGAGTCCAAAACCCCAAAGACAATTGTGCACAGCTCGTTCTCAGCCTTGTAGAGTTTTCTTGTAGAACCTGGTGCTGTGCACACTACAGACACCACCCGAGTGTTCAGAGAGGAGGAGATGATCTGTGCAGCCTTGGCTTGCAGGGACTGTGAATTCAGGAAGGGAGCAGCTGCCTGTTTGGGCTGTTGGACAAACAGCAGAAGATGGAGGTCTTAACTAACTGTAGATAAACCATTGTTAGGTTGTGAAACAAAACATCTAGTATACAGGTCAAAAATAGCAGTGCTTATATAAATATTTAAAGTAAGCAATTTTTGTCAGTGTTTTTAGAGGATCTTGGAGTACAGTTCTGTTGGTTCCTCTCAGCCATTTTTGAGCTGGCATTTCTTTGACATTTTGCTGCCTGTGCCTTATGTGGACCCTCACTGAAAGCTTCCTATGTGCTACAAGAGCAGGACTTTGCCTTTGGAGGGTGACCTGGAAGCCAGCAGTACAACAGCAGGATTCCCTGATGAGGCAGGCACAAATAAACGAGGAAGGCTTCCCACAAACTAACTTTCAAGGCAACTTAGAGGTCACACCCTATCTTGGACAGGGGCTGGTAGCTGACATTTAAGGAAGAAATATGAATGCATCTAGAAGAGGGTGTTCAGCCCCTGCAGGGCATCTGGCAACCAGTCCTTTAGGGGCTTCCAGAGACAAAAATGACACCCTTCAGTAACTGCTGCTGGATCCATCTCTCATGAATCACATCATTACCTTTTCTGTAGAACCTGGCCTTCACAATGTCCTGTGCTGGTGAGTTCCACAACATTAGTATACATTATAAGAACTTCCTTTTTCTGTATGTTAAATGAAAGTATTTTCTTGCTGCTACTTGGTCTTTAAAAGAAAACAAATCTTAAGTGCCAGAAATACTGTTAATCAGCTGTTTATCCTGTTGAGATTGCTGTGTATGGAAAATGTTTTCCTCATCAGTTAAAGTACCTTTCTTTGGTTATTTTACAAAGGAAAAAAGTTTACACATGCAGATGACTGTAATATTCCCATATATAATTGTGTGGGACGTGTTAAATGAAATAACATGTTTAAGTTTTATGTTGCTGGATTTTACTGTCCCGTGTTACTTCAGTATTTTGATGCTTCCTGTTTTATTTGTTCTGTAATTCTGTACATGACAGTTTAACACAAAACAAGTGATCTGAATCTCACAACCTCACGCTATGTACACAGTTTGTAGAGAAACAAGACATCAGTTATATGCCTCTCCTGCCCCCCACTCCCTCCTGTTAGGGCTGAATGGCAAAACTATTTGATGCTATTGAAAGCCTTTTTTTAAAAAAAAAAAAATAAAAATCTATGCATGCTATTTTATATTCTAATGTATTATTCATATCAGTACATAAGCTTATGCTTGTCAGTTTTATCTTGTGTATAGAACTGATTACTTTTGACAGTATTTTTGCACTGTTTCTTTTCTCTCTCTTTTTATAAGGTTCTATTCAGCATTAATTGACTGCAATAATTTTTTACCCCTTTCACTGCCTTTGTGTAAATAGTTTCTTAAAAGCTTTTGCAAATATCAGAATGTCTTCAGTCACTAAGGTTTTTTGGTAAAGCTGTCCTTCATATTCACAGTATACAATAAACTTTTTTTTTTTCAAAGAAAACTCTGCCTGTGTTCTTTGCTGTACCAGCTTAACGTTTGTGTTTGCAGCTCCTGTGCTTGTGTTAGTTTGTGTTAAACTGATTGATAGGCACAGCTTGGGCCACAGCAAGCTTTGAAGAACTGTCTGTAAACAGTAGCCCTGGTCTCACAAGGGCACAGCTCTTGCTGGTGCTCATGCCAGGCTAATCCAGCTCTGGACTGCTGAAGTATCTTCTGGGCTCTGAACAGATGTTCTGAAATTAAGGTGCTGCTTCCCTGGTCCAGGGTTTGCTTGACAAGATGAAGTTGGGATAAAAAGTCAGCTGGTGTCCTCTTCCTAGGCTTGGCTGCAATTAAGGGGCCTTGGCTTTCTGGAATCATGAGGTCTGGTGCAGTTTCAGGTACTCCAGCAACAACAGCTGGCTAGGGAGCAATGAAACCTCCTGGCAAAATGAGGTGACAAACCCTTCTTCTCCAGCAGCTTTATTTTCAGGGCAGCACTTGCAAGAAAGAAAACATGATGAAGTTTTTTATGGTGATGTGCTCACTCTCTCTCATCATACTTAACAAGCTGTGAAGGCAGGAAGGAATGGTCATGTAGTTTTACTGTGCAACATAGTTCAGCTTTGCTGGAAGTTCAGAGCCACTCTCCCTCTTCTCTTCTTCCTTCCCCATCCTTAAAAGCAATCTCCTGCCATTGATGTCAATAGAGAGAAAAAATCCTGCACTCTTGCATACAAGCAGAGAAAGCAGAGTCCTGGATGTTTTCCTCAGAAAATGATCTTGTTCCTCTAGTAAAATTGCTAACATATAAATAGTACATTTTAATCCACTGGAGGCAAAGGTATGGTTTTAAGTACGAGCTCTCCTCTGCAGTAAATTCACTCTAAATTGTAAAGGGGATTAAAAAGCCAGGAGTTGCACAGTGTATGTCTTGTGCAAGCCTTTGAGCTGTGTGCCAGCATTCTCTGGTCCAGGCCTGCTGAGCTCCAGGTCCTTACAGTGATGAATGGCTCCCTGGCAGCAGCAGTGGTGGGCCTGCAGATTAACTGGCTGGGGGAACAGCAGTGGTGATGCACGATGTGCATGATGGATTCATCATGCTCATTTCCCCCTTCTCTCAAACCAAAAATGATCTGTGAAAAGACAAATTGGATACTAACCCACAACAAAAAGTACAGCTTCTGCTAACTGATCTGTCAGGTTACATTAAATGACTTAGGCAAAAGCAGACATCACAAAACTATTGCACCCAAGTAAGTGTACAAGTGGAATCAAGAGGGGGCAAGACTATTTTATTTACTTTACACAAACACATTAAAATCAATAAAGGAAAAAATGGCCAGTTTTGTACAATCTGTCAAAAAGCCTAATGTGTAAGAAATCATGGATGCCTCCTTAAATGAAAAAAGGCAATTGTGTAGCTGTGTGGAAGCTAGGAACATTTTGCAAGGCCCAAAAGTGTTTGTCATTCCAATTATAGGACAGAACTGTGTTCGTACTCTACCGGTTTTCAAAGCACTCCTGAAGGTTTCCATAACAAGGCTTTTTAAAATAAAGGTTTGAAGGATTGCATAGATTCAAAGGCTCAGTGATCCTCTAATTCCTTTTTGATCTCTGAAATGTATGGATGATCTTTCCCGTGTGCTACTTCCATGATAGCAATTGCCTATGAAAAGAAAAAAATATTCAGACAATGGATTCCTATAGAACACCAGGCTATAAATACCCTCTTCAGAGGTTTGAAACAATCTCACACCTCTGGCTACTTTTTTGTCCCCTTGTAGTCATAAACCCAGTAGGAAATAAAATGAAATTCAAAACTAAGTAATAAAGGTTTTACATTCAGAGAATACATCTTTCATCTTAAAGGATCCCAAACCACCTTTCAAAAATTATATTCCTGACAAAGCTACTTTGAATGCAACCAGCTCCAGGACAGAAAACTGCAAGAGGGGTGGGTAACAATCTGCCAGAGGACTGAAGCAGTATCAGGCAGAGCTCTGTTCCTACCAATTTGTCCTTCAGCTGTCAGACTGACAGGCAGACCTGTTGCAGGAGTTACACCAAGGCATTTCAGACTTGATTCTGTGAACCCTCCACTGGTTCCAGGGGCTACCAATGCTTTACAGAGGAAGCAACTGCTTGGGCAACCACCCAGGCAAAAGCAGCACTGTGTCAAATCTGGACAGATGCTGCTGTGCCCGGCTCCCTGCTGCTTCACCCATGGCCTGCTCTGGTCCTAAGAGTGAGTGCTTCAGGCAGCTAAACCCACTGACTTGCACTCCCCTGCCACCACCCACACTGCGTTGCACTGCAGCTGTCCAGGCAAGTGTCCACTTGAGAAAAGGACAGCAGCAGGATAAAGGACTGAAAGAAGCAAGTTTGGAGTAAGCTGGAGAATAGTTAAAAGACCACAGTGCTAAAAGGAAGCAAGGAATTGCAGCATCCTGGCCATCAGCATGTAGTCATTTTCTCCTCAGGGGACTCCTATGGAATTATGCCCTTGCAGTTGCTAAGCCAGTGCAACAGGGGCCTTTGGTTCCACCTCAGCAGTGGTGAGAAGTTGCTCTGTTCCCTCTCCTGCCCAGAAGAAAAGAGGCCTCCTGGATGAACTGCTTGCAAGCTGACAGAGAACAATGGGTTTGTTTTTCCACTAAATCCCAAACATCAGGGTCTGGGATAACTTTGGACAGTTCCTGTAGGCAGCTTTTGGAAGTGAGTCATTAGAAAATGTTTGTGTTAGGAAGCTAACTATGCCAACAAAGCTACCTACAGTTCCCAACCCCCCATCCCCTGCTCCCACTGGCATAAATCCCAGTTTTAGTCAAAGCTTTAACACCACAGAGAAAGAAAACCTCTGCTAATTTTAAACTAGGTAACAGTTAAATTTTAAGAGCATATATTCTTGTGGTATCTTATCCCATGGCTGGATGGCAGTGTTATTCCTGGCTAAAAACTTGCCAGCATCTAAAAAGAAAGGGGAAAAGAAAAAATCACAATATTCCACAGCAAGTCATTATACCCTACAGTAGTCACTGATGCTTAAGAAACTAAAATAAACTTCTGTCCAAGAACAACAGGGGAAGGAAGTCAAGAAACATGGTAATTCTAATCTAAAAATTGAAGAATAAAACAACCCTAAAGAATAAGGACCAAGCTAGTATAAATGGGTGAAGAAAAATGTAAACCCAAAAGTGGTATTTGCCAATTTCAGCATTACCAGACACTGAATTCCCTTCAGTGATTTAAAAATCAATTGGTTCCAGAGCAAATAACCACCAAAAGCATGCCCAGTTTAACTTGGATATATAAATCACAGACTTCAGTGCAACACTATGCTCCTTTTGTAAGAACCAAGCATTTTTTCTGCCCTTACCTAGCAAGTGAGGAGAGGCAACAAGTTCTGCCCCATTTACACTAGTACAGCTCTAGCTCAGTGAGGAATGTATCACAAATGTTTAAGCATGATGCTCACTCCAGCTGCTGCAGCAGAAGTTCATTATGAAAATGTAAGACCTGTTGTATGCAAGAACTGATCTAATACTGCAGCTTTGGAAACAGCAAAACTGAGCCAAAAATCCAGTAACCAAATATATTAACACATGGTGCATCTCCTACCAAGCCAGGCTTACTGACAGAAGCACACAGTGTTTCAACAACCCCATGCCTGAGTGGGTATTATTAATGAAGAAACAAAGAAAGAAATACCCTCTTCAGAGCTTTAACTCCAGCCGCTCTGTTCTCCAGCGCCATGTACAGCCTCCCCAGCTTCAGCCACATGGAGGCAACATTCAGTGAGTAGGAGGGATAATGTTTACTGCAAGAGAGAAAGAAACCCAGGTTTATCAAAGCTGGCAGTTTCACAGCATTTTCCCAGCCCTCCTCCCCCTCTCAGGGTGCAAGACGCTCCCTCTCCCTGCCCCTGCCCATTCGGAGCTCACCCCCCGGCCATGCCTGCCAAGAGCCAGCGCCAACTGTGTCTGGGGTGGGGACGCCCGGCAGCTGGGAATTGAGCTGAAACCACCATATGCCTCTGAACAGCTGTCAGATGGCAACGACTTTCTGCCACTAGTTCTCATCTAGCCAGTCAGAGAAAGAGGCTGCATTGTCAGGGGGTTTTGGAGCCAGGCTAGGCCCGCACAGCAGCTCTCCCTGCTCCACGGGCGGCAAGGGGCGCAGCACAGCCCCTCTGTCCCCACACACACTGTGCTAGCAGAGCTGGGCTCAGCACAGCCCACCTGGAATGCCAGGCTCCCAGCCAGAGGAGCTGGGCAAGTCCCAGGGAAGATAAATAGTACTGAGCCCCCGGGAGGGGGAAATGTTGGCTCCTTCTACCACTGCTCTCTGCCAAGTGATCTGTGACTTTACGCTGGCATCTGCTCCAAAGGGAGAGATTCACTTGCACTCCCCCCAGCTGGCAAGAAAGTCACATCTCAAGACGAGAATCACCTTGGGAGATTCATGGCAGGCTGAGACACAAGATCACCATTGTAACAACACTGAAAACTCCACTGGAGAGTATTAATTTTTTCCTGCAGCTTGCCCCACACGGGGCTTCTGCCCACACCTTCTCCCACTCCTCCAGCTCTGGGGCGGTGGAGATCAGGGACATCAGGGCACCCACAGCCTCTGAGTGCAGGAGCTGATCTCAGCTCCAGCTCCCTCTGCTGCTCGGCCCCAGCCCCAGGACAGGGCTCTGCTCTCCTGCAACCACCACCACGGTGGTACTGCAGGGAGAAGGGACTGGGAGAGGGCAGGAGGCTGGGGGCAACAGCTGTGCCTCCCTTAGCTGCCTTACACCAACCACTGACTGTGTGATGTACTCTGGGTGACCCTGCTCTGGCAGGGGGGTTGGACTAGATGATCTTTCGAGGTCCCTTCCAACCCCTATGATTCTATGATTCTATGACTGCAGGTGCAAGTCGAAGCTCTGCGTTAATAAAGGAACAGTGTATTAATTAAAAACCTTATTTATCCAGCTAAGCAGAACCAGTGGAACACCCGAGGTGGTACAAATTTACCTTCACAACACAAAGTAAGGATTTCAGAGTCACCTTCTGCTGACAGTTAGTTTGACAGTAACAATGATTTCACCATAATGATGTCATTGGTAGTGTGTTTACACCACACATACTGAGAAAAGTGATCTCTGCCCAAACTTGTCTTAATTATTCAGATTAGTGAATTACAGCACTAAAAAAAAAAAAAAAAGTCTGATATTTACCTGTATGGTCTGATAATTTTTTGGCCGTACCGCAGTGCACCTTCCCAGTCCTGCATGTAGAGACAGACACCCATGGCCTGGTACATCATGTGTAACATGTAAACGTTGCTGTCCTCAAACACTGCACCCATCTTGTCCAGGCTCAGCTCACAGATCTCCAGCAGTTCGCTAGGAGGTACAATACAGTCAGGGAACCAAATAAACAGATGGCCTCTCATGAAACTACTGCCTGGTAATCCCAAAGAACTGACTGAGTTGTTCAGAATGTTTCTGCAAAGTCCTCTGTTCTCACAAATGGCATCAAAGCATCTATGCTACAACAGCAGAGCTACTCTGAGAGGTACACTCTATATTGAGAGGTATTCTACTCATGAGATTATTCCCCTTCCTGCTCAAGATATTCTACAAAACAAGCTTTCAGATTTAAAAAGGAACAAGCAGCTTTCCTGAATCACCACTTCACAGCTATGTGTCAGAAGATGGGGGAGTGGAATTCTCCATGCAGTGGGTACTCAATCAGGCACCAGACAGCCTGATCTGCTTCTGGCCCAGCCAATCTTGCATTTTTGCATCTCACTGCTCTACAACAGGTAGGCTTGGGACTACCAGCAGCAGCTGCAGCCTCCCAGGCCATCTCTCAAAACGGGGCAGCACCACAGCAGGCTGACACTAGCACACAGCTACACAAACTCTCTGGCTTATGCTGCACACCTAGAAACTGAGAGCTGCACGTGAAGGAACAAACAGAGGGTCTCACAACCCTGCGACACCTGCAGTGTTCAACTGCCCCTTGTCTCCAGGGTCAACCCTTCACACACAAGGAGGACAGAGGGAAGTTTAACCTCTAATGGACGTAATATTTCTGCCGCAGGTATGATTCTGAAGCAATCCTGCAGGTAAGATTTTTAGGTGACACAGCAAGCCAGCTATGCCAGGAGCCAGGGTAAGACAAAGGATATATTTGTAGTGTTTGGCTCTCCTGAATTCCTCGATCACGTTCCTGGCGTATTTGATCATGTCCCGTACTGTCTCTGCCGACGGACGATCACCCAGCTTGCAGATTTCCAGTTTCTCTTTATCCTGAAGGAAACACAATGGACTTTACAAATGCAGGTTCCAAGCCCTACAAATAAAGGTGCACCTGCTACACAAAATTACTCTAATAAAAAGGCACAGATGGGAACTTAAGCTCTTCAGAAAAATGTAAAAACAAAGGTAGAATGTGCACCTGCAATTTTTTTTTCTAAAGCCTCGTCTGGGAATCCTAGAATCCTCTGTGCCTTCCAGGTCATCTGCCATTCTCTACTTCCATGAAGTCCCTTTCTTCTGAAAGATCCAAGAGCTTTTCAATTTTGTAATGAAAGCAGTTTTACATAAAAAATGTCACTGCTTCTGAGAGATTAGGGATTAAAACAAATTCTGTTTTAAGGATAGTAAAGCCCACATACCTTAGGCCTACCACCAAGTGATAGCTCGGTGGAAAAAGTTAAGATACTAAATACAAAAGAGGATCCTTCATATCTACAGACCAGACTACATTTCCACATATTTTGTTATTTCTGCTGAATAGCTCCACTTACTTTTTATCTTTCTAACTTACTACTTCACGAAGAGTCAAGTTGCAATCTGGAGACAATCTTTTCCTGTTTAAGCTTCACGTTGTTGCTAGATTTCTTTTTCCTTTTTTATTTCATCTGCCAGCTGAGAGGGCTATGGGGGACTCTTTCCAAAGCTGAAGGAGGCCAAGTGACAGGTGATTCCAAGCATAGCATGTTGTTTGAAATCACAGATGAAATTCTGGCTTTGTTAAACTCAGTGGCTAAATTATCAAGGTAACTGTGGGGGGAAAATACAACTATGGTATTAAAAGAATGGCCTCAAACAAGAACGCTAGGTACTAGTTGGAAAATAAAGCTTCAAAAGATGACACCCTTTAGAGGATGGAGATGGTTTTCTAGCCAGTTTAGGCAGCTCTTAGAAGGACACGTTTGTGAACATGGAGGGGGAAATTACATAGAACTTCAGGATCAGAGTGTGCCAGCCAGAGTCATCTTGACCAGAAGGTTGACAGGTGAGTCACACAAAGATCAGTTCTCCTAGGAGAACTTCCCTCCAGTGAAGGAGGTTTAAGTGATTGCATAGGCACAGTTGTTTCAATATCTGTTGATCTCAAGTACCTTTTTCCCCCCATAACTGTTTTTTTTCAAAATAACTAACACCTTGTTTTAAGGAACACTGTCTGGATGTCTGCCTTTGTCCTTCAGACATCACCTGGTGTGTTTCAGTTAATCTGGCCTGTACATCACAAGGGACTGTGACCCAGGACTACTCTGTAAAGATCAGTTCTCCTAGGAGAACTTCCCTCCAGTGAAGGAGGTTTAAGTGATTGCATAGGCACAGTTGTTTCAATATCTGTTGATCTCAAGTACCTTTTTCCCCTCATAACTGTTTTTCTTTCACAATAACTAACACCTTGTTTTAAGGAACACTGTCTGGATGTCTGCCTTTGTCCTTCAGACATCACCTGGTGCGTTTCAATTAACATAAATCTGGCCTGTACTTCACAAAGGGACTGTGACCCAGGACTACTCTGTCTGTGAAGAGACTGATACAGCACCACTGAAGGAAAGGCAGGGTCATAGATTCTGCTGGGTCTCCCAGCCATCCAGCAATGTCATATAATGTCAACTAGCACTGGCTGAGATGTCCCAACCAGCAACTGTGGCAGGATTCTATCCCAGAACATGATCCCAGAAATGCCCCAAGCAAGATTCACCCGCTGGTAGAAAACATGCAGTTACAAAAAAAATGAGTTCTGAGCTAAATTGTTTTGGCCAGACAGAGTATAATTATCTACTTTTAACAAAGTTTTCATCTTTGCTTTGTAGCTCAACTTTAAATAGACCTCTGTGAGGAAATTTCCTGATGTGTCATTATTACAGTGGAAAGAATGAGTATCAGAAAGTCTTCTAAACAGAAAAACAAAACTACCACTCCCCCTACCACCCTACTTTCCAAAAAGTAATTAAACCAGACAGCATATTACATCTAAGGCCAAGGTAGATGCCTCAACAGTCAAAAGTGTATTTCATACTGATGTTTTTTACCTTTTCTTTTGTAATGCACTCCCTGCAATCACAATTAAAGAAATAGGAGTCTCTTAACCGGTCATTTCTGTCTTCTGTGGGATACAACAGGTCAATATAGCTGGTGAAAACCTGTATGGTAAAAACCACAGCAGTCAGTGAAAAGCAATGGAACTATATCTATTACTACTAGTTCTGGTATATGGAGTATGACAACTACATATCCATGCAACCTGTGGACCCCCTGCAGCCACATCACCTGCCACATTCCAAGCCTTTTGGCAGCATCAGAAGCTGCCCTTTGTGAATGCAATCTGACAGAGAAGTGTTCCCTTTCCTACTCATGGAATTTCCCTCAAATAGTACCCTGGCGTGAACCCAGGACAGCAAGATTCAGGTGTGGATAAGGGAACTGCCACAGCGTAAATCTGAGACTCCTGTCAGACTACAAAGAGATGCTTACTTTTCAGAAGTAAAATAATTATTTCAGGTATCCAGCCTAGGATAAATTACAGTGGCCTCGCTTTTTGGAGGCTGGAATCTCAAGTTTTTCTTTCTGAAAACCCACAAAAACTGGGACAACAACAGTCATTAACAGGTTTAGAAACTTAGGACAAGACCTTTAGATATCTGAAGAGAGGCCCAGTGTTCCAGTTCTACGAGAATTAATATCAGATCTACTTTAGCAGCAATAGTTTAAAGTGAAGAAAATGTGCTTTTGAACATTTTAAAGGCCCTCCACATAAAGTGCTCTTAAGTCTTCCTCTACTTCAGTGTTCTTTAGAATAGAAACTCTGCAAACGAGTACTTTATGTGGAGGGCCTTTAAGTCTTCCTCTACTTCAATGTTCTTTAGAATAGAAACTCTGCAAACAGATTTAATGCTCTGGTTTTACAATGTGATCTCCCCCAAGAAACACATCATATGCACAGGGCAGCCGATCATTGTGCAGACCAAAAAAAAAAATTCACTTAGTTTCATTTCAATTTGGTTTCATTTCTTCATTTATAGTTATTTTAAATGTTTCACTCAGTCTTTATGCTTAAGGCTTCTTTCCTCTTTCAAGTAAAATGTAAACATAATTTCATACATGCTCTTCCTACTCGGTGTGATCTCACACTTCCACCCACACTCCTCTCCTTCCCTTCCTCTTTTCAAAGCAGGCAAAATGCACGAGCTGCATTTACAGCAGAAACTTTTCAAGATGTGGCAATGCAATGGCTACACAGAACCTGAAGATGGAGACACAGGCCGTCAGACTGCACGGAGCCCAAGCAAAACCACGAGCTCACATTCAGAAGTTTCTGGTGTCATAGAAGCGAATGCGCAAAAGCCATGAGGTCCTGGAGAACTGATAGAGGTTCTAAGACACAACTCAATCAGAAGAAGGTGCCAAGCAAGGGAAATAGTCCACATGTCTACCTCTCACAGTAAGCCCTCCCCAAAAATGCTGAAAATGTCCGGGACTCCTCAGTACCACTCCGAAACCAGGCTGGGTCCTTGTCCATTACCACAATGCATTTGCAGTGACTGCCAACATCACAGACAATCATCGTTAGTAAAGGGCAGAAAAAGAACTTGCTCACCCAAGTCATTCACCCTTGGCTTCAGCAACCAAACTCACTTTGTTCACAATGGTGAACAGCTTTAAGCCACAAAAATAGCCTCTCTCCCCTTCTTCAAAACTAGCAGCACATACTTCAGAAAGCAGGAGTTACCAACATCAAACCTGAACTTACTTTGATCGGCATTAACCTTGCCTACTAAATTAATATTAACAAGCAAGCGACTGGAACTCTGTGCAAATTCCATCCTCAGGGAGAACATTCTGTATTTTCAACCCCTGCAGATATTTGAACATCATCCTCAACTCTGTTTAACAACTTTTTTCCTTTCTTTTTTTTTTTTTAAAGCAAAGAGCAGCCCTGCTACTGAAGGCTCCCTGCCACGTTCACTGTTTGATTGAGAAAGCTGCCAGGTAAACACAGAACCTTACTCAGTCTCACTGCATTTTATCCATCACTGTTCAGCTTCACTCCACCTAAAAACACTTCTGTGACTTCCCAGCAAATGTCACTGAGGTGATATGACCAAGTCCCACGTTTTGTGGATGCTCCATCCAAACAGAAGCCAGAGGACTTATCTGTACCCATTTACCTTGTTTATTCTGGCTTCAGTTTCAATACATTACTATTATAATGGGAGCTATTAGAGCAGTAATAATTTGCTTTGATGTTGGAATTTCAAAGCACCAGCCAAACATCAGTAAACTCAACCTCATTTTACAGATGGGTAAACTGAGAGAGAGGCTGGCAGATACACAGTGACTGCTGCAGGTACCCTTCCCTTGTTTCACCACAGAATAGGAGACTACCACCAAAAATCACTTCAGCCCTCCAGAGCCTTCCCAGCTTTTCAAAACAAAATCTTACACTTCCCTGAGAAACAAGAAATCCTCCCTCTCTACTATTAAATTGTCATCTAATTGAAATGAATCCTGAGAAGCAGAATGGATCCTGCTTTTAGTACACTCTGCACAGAGTACATTCCAACCCAGTGTACTTACCTCTTCTCCAGGCTCAATCTCTCTAACAGCTCTGACTTCAGCCAAGGTCCCCTTGTAAGTTACAATCACATTTGGGCAACAGCTATGGTTCATCAATGCAACACTGTGAAAGCAGAAGAGTAAAACTTTTCCTCCACCACCACAAAAAGCAACAGGCAAAAAGTTAAGCACCACTTCACCAAACAAGCCTCAAAAATTGAGTCAGGCTCTCTCTGCAAGCTATTTTTATTCTCAGGCTTAACGTGGCAGTAGCCTTGGGAAAAATCTGTCATACTGTTATTTGTTCTAATGATACAGAGAATGGGTGTGCTAATGAATCATTACAATTTTTAAATCGTATTAGTTCAGGACTAGGCAAATTATTATTTTCCCATTCTTACAGTGCTGTGGGACAGCTGACAAGGGTGTTCATATAGCTTAATTACCAACATCCCATTTAGATACCTATGACAGATTATCTTCCTCAGAGGACAGAGAAACAGATTTAAACCAAAGGAAACAAGCAAATGCAGGAAGACAAAAGCTGCATCACAACTTATGATGGTCATTACAAGTTTATCTGGCTTCTGTCCAAACATAAGCAGCCTCCACCTTTGAAGCAGGAGGGGAGAGATCTCTGCCCATTACAAACGCACAGGACTGACACAAAAACTTGGGACTGCTAGGGGAAAGTACTCCCCCTTACTACCAAGCCTGTAGAAAGTGAAATTTGCTGCTTATTTGAGATAAAATGTATAATTTTAATTCTTTCTCTTCCAAGCTAGCAAAATAATAATTGTCTCTCCAGTCTTTTTTAGCTCACAAGTGTTAACTGTTAAGTAAGAAAGACCTGGCTCTTGTATGGTGAACATTTACAAACATATGATTGTGTTGGGTCTGTTTCCAGAACACTGTGGTTTAATACTTTCTTCTCCCCACCATGACTCTCATCCTGGGCATTTCAAGGCCTTATCTTCTAGCCTGCAGATCACAGATGTGGACTTCAGACAGACCTGCCTGAAGAAGGAGAAACCGTGCAACAAGGACTATCTACCACTGCCTGTATGCACAGCACTTAGCAAAATCAGGTCCTGCTTTAATTGGGCCCCTCTCAGTTTCAGATTACTTTGACACAGATAAGCTACCAGTCATCAATGCCTCACAAAGAAGACAACGTAGAGCAGGCAGTGATAATACTTTCAGAACAGGGTTGGCAAAGAAAATACCAGGGGCAGAAAACACCCTCCTTTGCCACAACATTAAGTAGGAAGTACAGATTTAACTGGAAGAAATGCTCCTCAGACTTAAAAAGAACTGTACACCCCATCCACAAACTGCAGTTAACGCTTAACACCTGCAGTTTATTTGCAAAGCTAAGAAGCCTGTACGTATTTTTTCCACTCATAGCAACATATAAAGCACTGCAGTTTTAAAAACATCTGAGGAGGCTGAAAGAAGTTATGAAAGGGATTTACTGTTTGCCATGGAACAAAGGCAGAAGGGCTGTTGTTCAGAGAACGCCAGGTGAAGGATTACACTCAGCCAAAACAGAAAGTTGTGAATAGAGCAAGTCACCTGCAATCCTTTTCATTTTGCTCTGACCACTACATGATGTCCCTGTCCAGAATGTGCTGTTTCCTACCAACCTGCACATAGTTCTCAATCTAAGCTTCAAAGCAAATTACAAGTGCAATTTTAACAAAACTACCAGATTTTTAAGAAAAACTGCTGTAAATAATTTGCCACATTACTAGCAAATTAAGGATATTTAAAAAAAGACAAATTGGTTTGTTGTATTTCTCTCAGCAGAGATCTATTTCCATACACATGCAAGAACATTAGTTTGGTTTTAAGTAAGTTAATTTTCTTTAAAAAAAAAAATAAATTAAAATCAACCTACTCAGGAAATATAGCTGATCCCAAATGAGAGAGTTCTTCATCTTCAATTGTGAAGCCATTACAGTTAACCTAAAGGAAAAAAAAAAAAGAGACTAAGTCACCTTCTGGTCACCACGTTCTGGTACTTCAAAGTCAATTGTAGTAATTTGCAGTTTTCTTTCCACCTCAGCACTACTCACAGGGAGCTACAGGATATCTCAAAAACTCCAGTGAGGACAAAGTCCCTATCCAAAGGAATGTGCAGTACACTGAAGAACTGACAGTCCAACCCTTGTACCTGCTCAGGACACAACACCTAGTGGAATGCTCCTTGGAAGGCCAACCAAGAGAAATGGAGCTTCATAAAAGCGCTAGAAAAGTGTCAGACAAACCAAGACCATGGCAAACATGAAACAAAGCCTGACACCAACAGGCCAAAGAGACCTGATCATTTGGTCATGACAAGTACAGGGCTGAAGCAGAACTCCCCACCCAAGGATCAGCGTGGGGATGAAGAGCAGCAAACTCAGCTGGGCTGTGGCAGTACAGAGCTTTGATGGAGCATGTGCTGGAGAGAGCTGCCACCGTGACATCTGTCCTCAACGGCTGCACATATCAGCCACAGCTAAAGCACACAGAGAACAACAAAGGCAGTGAGAAAGACTTGAAGTTAATAAAGACATAGAATGGTAGGGGACAGAAGAAGGACAGAGTGTAAGAGGAACTGTATTCCTAATTTAGACAGGATCAAAGGAGCTTGCTCATACATCTTTCTTACAGAAAAAGATTCAAACCGCTTTTAAAACTTTCTCCCTCTTTTAGTCTCACTAAACTCAAGGGACTCTTAACAGGAGTTTCAGCTTCATTTCATGTGATTTGTGTGACTTTAAGTGACCAAAACACACCTCAGCCAAGTACTTTATTCCACTTTCACAGCAAGTCCCATACGCGCCAACACGATGGGAACTCTCCACATTCACCAGCATCTCCCTGTCACCACCAAAACGTTCACAGAAGCACCAGCAAAGCACTAAAACAACTACTCACAGTGTGGCCAAGTCCAACTGAAGCTGCAATGGGCACAATGTCAGTCAGGTACAGTGTAAGTATTTGTTCTGGAAGGGTAGGAGTTGACAACAAACACTGCCAACAATTATGTGCCCCACAGGCTGGAAGGCATCTTGGATTGGATTTAAAAAAATACACAAATGCTTCCCAAAGCCCCTTCTCAGGCCTTACATGGTTAGGGTGAGTTCACAATTAAGAAAGCAGCTTGTTTCTCCAATTCACTCACCAGTCTTTGCTTGATCTTTATCCTGCTATTTTTAGCAAGCTAGCATCAAAGGGCTCCCTTTTCTCTCAAGACAAACATGCTACTGCACTAGCCAGTGTATGAGCATACATGAACCAAACCCAAAATGTAACTGCTGAATACAAAAACAATAGAAGGGAAAAAGTACCTCAACAGGAAGAACATAAGGCTACAAAGGCTGACATGAAGAACAGCTTGATGGTTCTGAATCATAGGGAAATATTTAAAAATATGTACTGAGTTATCATCAACTCCTCTCCACTAAGCCAGAGGCAACCCACTTCTGAAATGCATCATATCAGAAATGACACAAGATGAAAAATTAGAAGGGATGAGATACCACTGGTTTCACCAGATGGATGCATGGCTAAAAAAAAGGCAATGTGGAGGGAGTAAAGAGACTACAGCAAAAAAACTAGAGCTCAAGGTTGTTCCAAATGGTGGAGAAGAGAACGTGCAAAGGGAGGCATGACATTACACGAGATCTTCAAGGAAAGGATGAGATGTTCCAGGAAAGGAACTGGAGAGGAGAGAAACTGTTTGAAGAGTATGACAAGGTGCAACTGAGGAGGAAGTGTGCCAGTCTCTAGAGCTATACTCCACAGGGAAAAAAGAGCAGAATGACAACAGCAGCAGGGACAGAGCTGTGGAAAGGCAAGGATGGTTTGGACAAAAATCTTTGCGCCACTCAAAAGGACCAATTACACCTTAGCTGCACTGAGTGAAAAACAACACCAGACAAAGCCCACAAGAAGCAGTAAGCAAGGCATCAGATGTATCCAAGTCCCAGACAACTGCCCTGAGACACAGGGATAAAGACTGCTGAATGGAGGAGCAAAGCAGACAACAGAGCAAGGGCTGAAGCAAAACAAAGGAGCTGCAGCGTATCCATACAATTGCTTTTAGGTCGAGTTATTCAATTACTGGGAAAGATTTTTGGACACATCAATACAGACATGATTCCCCTTCTTCTAGAAAGATGTGTGTTGGGTCTAAAACCTCATCAGGTTGTGTCCTGTAATACACTTCTGAGGAACATCCAGATGACCTTTGGATATTTTAGTTCAAACAACTGCAATGTCCATGGTGGTAGATAGGTAGAATAGTTGCCTGGTGATCAGGATAAGCCTAAGGTGACACCTAATGGTAACATTAGATAGCTACAGATGGAACAGCAGACATGGGAGTCAGCACTCCACAGAAGTCAGTTAAAGTGCCATGATCTGGTGGGGCTGGTCCAGGACAGGACACAAAATGAAAGTCATTATAGCCAACGTAATGTAATCTTTGGGGATTCCAGCTATACTCTAATGGAAACTGGTGATACTGATGCCTTTAAAGTGTCCCTCTGACAAACATAAAGTCTTCCAAAGAGAGGAAGTTTTTTCATTCAGAAGAACACATTTCATAGAAGGAAAATGTATCATTAGAAAAAACACAATGGATGACAAGCAGATGCTAAATATGCTGAAGAATCCCTCCCCTACAAAACAGAAGTACCTCTGCATCAAGGAAATAGTAACTGTGCCTCCTTATTGGTAGATGCCCAGTTCTACCAACCAGGGTACTGCTATTTCAGCTTTCATCACAGCAGTTAACATTTGTCCCCATCTCAAAAAAAACCCTAAAATTTTTTCTCAGACATTTAAGTTTAGAACTAGCCTTTTGTGAAGTACTGGAGGAAGAGGAAGAAAATGTATCTTTTGGTTTTCCACTGGTGTGTCACTCCATCCACTACAATACATTAAATTCAGGTGCATATGAAAAGCAGGTGTGAAAGAAGAGGTGACACACTTCAGAAGCTATCTAACAAGACATCGTGCCTTCCCTTCATCTCTCCAGATGACCACACTACCTGACTGCATTTAAAAGCCACACACCAGATAAAAGTTTCTGACCGCTCTTTCTGCTCCTCTGAAGTTTATTCCCTGTGAAGGTCAAACACAATGAGGACCTGACCAGCAAGGATTTGAACACGTTTGAAGTTTGGATGAAGGATTTTTCCTCTGCAGGTTCTCAGACCAGCAGCCTTCCATCTAAGTTCAACAACAACTGCTCATTTCCCCTCACTATTAAAATGGGGCATGTCCAGGCACTTCTGCTCAAGGAAGTGGATCTTCTCCATGAGGCACACTCAGGTCTCCCTCAGATAAGCAAAGAGCTACCATTTCCATTGCTGTTAACATTTTTCCCCTTTCACAAAGGCTAAATTCCTGCAGCAGCATCCACCCAAGCAAGCTGTGTTCTAGCAAACTTACTTGTGCAAAGAGAACTACAAGGGCAGCATTGTCAGGGTACTCCAAGTGCTTTGAGTAAAAGTGATGAAGAGCAGCAATGTCGTTCTGAATCAGCTCTCTCTTTTCATTGTCTAGTTTGTCAAGGTCTGTGAACAAAGAATACATTCCATTTCAGTAACAGGAATACTCCCCGTGAACTGCAGCTAGAGTTAGCTTAGAACAGGCCTGAACAGAAATGCCTCAAGGAACAGCTACTTGGAAGCACTCTAAGAAGTGCCTGTTCTGCCATAAATGTCATGCTGCTTCTGCCAAAGCCACACATGCCCTACAAGAGCATGCAGGATTAACAGCATTTTCTAACACCTTCACATCAGCAGGTAACTGGACACAAAATTTCCCTTTCTTGGGAAGAGTTACAGTGTTTAAAGTGCATTTGTTAACCCCAGCAAACAGAGCAGCCAGCCCTGGCCCTCTAGAAGCCTCTCAACAGCAGGTAATTATCCTCAGCTCTCACAAACACGAAATCATGAGCTGCTTGGTCTCACCTACTGTGCTATGAAGACAAACTCAACATCACACCTCTTAAAGCATGCTTTACACAGTGAAACCTCCTCACACAGGCCTAATCCTTATCAGCACAAACAGCCCAGACTCCTGCTAATGAAGGGACCTTATCCCTGCTTTTAGAAGACTTGGTCTTTCCCAACAGAGAGGTCCTAACTATTTGTGGCCATGTGTGACAGGGATCTAACAGTTTGACAACAATGCTGGGACTAGTTACCAGGAGTTCCCTTGGCAGAGAGGGGAGTATAACATGAGGGTGCCTGGGAGTGCAACCCACTGACCTACTGCTGGCACCTGCTCCAGAAGGTAACAGTGCCCAAGGAATGCCTGTGTCTCTACAGGCTGGGGCTGATGACCAGCAGGGCTGTGTTCAACCCACAGACAGCTGAGGAGAACAGGAGACAGCAGGAGTATCAGTGGAAATGTCCTGGTACACCTGCCAAAGGCATTCCCTAAGGAGTTTGTTCAGAGATTTACCCTCAGGCCCATGACAGGCTCTAGCCAAAGCTGTGGCCACTGACCCTTTTCCTGCCTGCTCCCTGCAGAGCACGCTGTATGATTGGCCATACACTCCAGGTTCCTGCTCTCTCCTCAACAGCAGAGCATTTCAAAGTTTCTTCCTAACCCTCTCTCTCACAGTGGCAGTGTCACCAGCTCACTCTTGCTTTAAGAGATCCAGCAACTCATCACTTCCCCCTCTCCAATTCAAAATAATTCTGGAGAGAAGAACATGCAGGAAGAGAAAAGGCTGCATGCACAATGGTGGAAGAAGGGGAAAAATATTTGTAAGAGCAGATGTGACAGGACAGCCACAAAAAATACCAAGGTAAATGAAAAGAGACACTGTGATGAGAAATAGGACAAATCAGAATTAAGAAATTTTGGGTTTCCAATGGACAGGCAGGTGCCAATAACTCTGGAGAGAAAAACATGCAGGAAGAGAAAAGGCTGCATGCACAATGGTGGAAGAAGGGGAAAAATATTTGTAAGAGCAGATGTGACAGGACAGCCACAAAAAATACCAAGGTAAATGAAAAGAGACACTGTGATGAGAAATAGGACAAATCAGAATTAAGAAATTTTGGGTTTCCAATGGACAGGCAGGTGCCTTTTCCTCCCCTGTGCAGGGTGTTGCAAAGCATAAGGCAACTGCTGAACTCAGCAGAAGTGTACTAAGAGATGAGGAGAGTCAACAAGGCAGAAGGAACAGGAGTTCCTGCTAACAAAACCAGAAACAAATCAAGAGCTCCTAGAGGACAAGGGGGACGTTGCAACAGAAAAAAATATTTCAACCTTTCAGCTCCTGTATTAATTAATTATTGAAGACAAGCTGCAATGAAGAAGAATATATAGAAATTATGCAACAGAAAAAAATATTTCAGCCTTTTAGCTCCTGTATTAATTATTGAAGACAATCTGCAATGAAGAAGAATATATAGAAATTACTCCAGCACTTACCCACCCTCCTCAACCTTAATCCTCCTAATCTACCTGTAAAAATGATCCTTGCCTTAGCCAAAGCCAAAAGCTGGCATTTCCCCCTCCACCCCCTTGTTTCCCCAGTTGTCCCAAAAGCTGTGCCAGGAGCTTTTGTTCACGAAGCAAGTAAGACTGTAACCTTGTTCCACATGGTGACTCTGCTACCTCAAGTCCTAGCAATGACTGCATTTATTCAGCATTTTATAAAGGGGTTTGGAAGCCATCAGAGTGAGAAATGTGAATATATAAACCTATTGTCTTCTTTTACATTACTCCCAGCACTAAAAATGACAGACCAGGAAAAACTCTGCCAGGATGGTTATGAGTCCACCAGCTGCTTGACTTCTAACTCTGCCTTACCAGACACAAACAGCAGCCTTCCAGTTCAAAGCAAGCCATTGCCTCATCTCCTTCCTTGGATTAATTTGGAACGTTTAGGACATGGAATTTCAACACAATCATACATAACATGTCAGATCTGACTGGCAGTGACAGATACTGAAGCACAGTCCAGAGGGCTCTGCAATTAGCCCCTTAGTCACTGTCACCATCAAGCAACTGTGCTGTCTCTGATTTTATGCCTCCTGGTAACACATACCAGCTATTTTAATTTTCCAACATTACAATACTGAAAAGACACCAGAGCACCAGAAAATCCATGAGATGGATGTATGCTACATTATTAATTCTGTCTAGATTTTCACCCTTGTTTCACAGCCCCCACAAGTGACCAAGAAAAAAAAAAAAAAGAAAGAAAAAAGAGCACTGCACTTCCAGAAAACAAGGAACAATTCTCTTTGTTTACTCCCTTCCTCCAACAGGAGTGGGATACTCTGGAAGGTTTGATGGAGTGGGGCCAGGGGGAAGCAAATCATGAATATGGATAACTGCCTGTTTACCTGCAAGCCTTTTTTACTTACGTGATTCAAACTCTTTTACAGCAAGCAGCTTCTCTGACTGTGTTCTTTCAGGGTGAGTTTTCTAGCAATAAGAGGGGGGGAAAAAAAAAATGTTTTAGAGTTTTAGGTTAGCAGTCTTGCCTACTCATTCATAAGCTGGGAACTCCTACCCATAAAATAAACCCAAATGCACCCTGTGTGGAATTTACAGAAGTTGGTGAACAGCTGTGAGTTCAATTGACTGCCCTTAGTAAAGTCATAGAAATATTCTCTCCACACCAAGTCAGGCAGCCAGAGATTCACTCCTATCAAATTTATACACATAAACTGAACAGTATTTTAAATATGTCATTTGCTTTGTTCTAGACACCCAGAAAGCTGCTAACAATAGCAAGCAGGCAGGAGACAGGCTTTGCTTTGAGGAAAGTGAATAAACTGACTGTTGACAGAGTTCAAAAGCAATGCTCCATTGTTGGCCTCAGGCCACTTCTTTGTAATCTTGGCCATTAAATATGGCTTTGCAGGTGGCCCATCAGCTGAGGTTCAGGGACTATGGTTTGCATATTTAGCTTTTATATGACATGCAGGGTTCTCCCCCCTCCCTGTAAGCAATAAAAGCACAAATTCATTCCAATGACTTTTTGTCATTAAACACTGGATTTTGTTTGTGGATCACCACTAAACCACAATTTAAGTCACACACATGCACCTACACACACAGCAAGTATGCAGCTACCTTCCCAGCAGGCCACCAAAATCCTCACTACATACAGTATCCAGGTTGCCCTTGTCACATAAGCAGACCTCCATCACACAAATAGGCTTCAAAGAGGATTTGTTTTTTTGTGGAGTGAATTTAGAGCTCTACAAAGATACACAGCTTAATAACCTTGAAACTCATGAATCCCATCCTCTCCCTGCAAGCACTTGTGTTATCCTCAGGATCCATACAGCCAGGGAGGCTGACACTGCAATCTGATTTCCTTACTAGCAATATTCTGTTTCTCCAAAGACCAAGGGCCTGAGATTTCTCTCTCAATCTCTGTTTTTCACCAGTTAACTCCAGTAATCATAAACATGTATAACTGAATATCTCAGAGGTGTTCCTGACTGGGAGTTATATACAAAACAATGCTACACAGATACAGATGAAAAATAGAACAGCAGGCAACTGCTTCATGAAGACTACAGCCATACAACACTAGCAGTTAAACTCTGAGGAATGCTGTGTCCACCAAGTCTCATTCCTCTTTCTCCTCACCCATGTAGCCTTGGTGCTAGCCCACACAGCCAAGAGCTCAAACCTACCAGAACAGAGGTCAAAACACCATTCAGACTGTGAAACTTTACACTTTTTTTTTTAAAAAAAATTAAAAATCTTTAAACTTTTCCAGACTGTTCAACAGGTCATAAGCTATAGCTACACAGCTCAAATCCTCACTAGCCTTTTGCCATCTTTCCCCAGAAGTCTCCACCTGAACTGCAGTGGCCCCAACAATCAGTTGGTTCAGCTGCCCACCCATCTGTACACAGGAAGCCCCCATCTATGTGCTTTGCAGGGACACTCACTGTCAGGCAATTTTCACCTTCCTGCCTTCGCTGGCACCCGGAGCAGGATCACACATCCCAAGTCAAGCCTCCTGCTCACCTGTTTGGCAAGGACCCGTGCCGTTAGCCTCACAGTCTCAGAGGGATTCCAGTTCTGCCCAAAAGCACACATGGCAGAACACTCTAGCCTGTGCATTGGCCAGTCTTCCTTCTGAAAATGTAGGAAAATAGTGAAAAAAAAAAAAAAAAAAAAAAAGCCATGAAGATAAAGCAATGAAAAAGAGGATGCAGCAAGTCCTGCCAGATCCTAGAGGTCAAGTGAAATGTGTTTCCTTTAGAAAAATAAGATGACACTCACTAAATCTGAACAAAAGCTTGAGTCACATTTAAGGGGTACAGCTATCCTGCTTTTTTCAAACAAATTCACAAGGGATGAGTTAGGGTCAGAACATCTTTATTTATTCAATGGAAAACAAGAATTAAATGACGAAGAAGCAAACAGACAACATGATTTATAAATCACCAGTTCTTGTTGTTCAGAGCAAGCACGTGAGGACAGAGTAGGTCTGAGCTTGATGGCTTTATTGGGTTCATTTCCATTTAATATCTTGGCCCCTCATTATGAGATGACCCTGGTGTAATCAGGAGTAATGTGTCTGAAGTCAATGGATTCACAGTCACTGTAAGAATCAGTATATGGAAGGTCAAACCCAGACCTACTGAATAGAATTCAGTATTCACAATTACCAGACTTTTTTTCCTTAAATGTTGTAGAGTAAGTGTACAGTTAGGCAATGAAAACACACTGACAAAGACAAACACATTTTAGTTCAGGATATATAGCACATTCCTAGCTCAACATGCAGCAACACTTGGAGTGATGGCACAAGCCACTGGCTTTTGGCACTCTACAGATTTCCTCCAAAGCAACCAAATCTTTCAGGGCTGAGCACAAAATCACAGATTAACACTCTGCACTGGCACACAGAGTCTGGTAGGTGCTGTCCTTGGACTGCATCAGATTTCATTTTATTTATTTGTTCAGACATGAAAATATTTCTATATTGGAGCAATGCACGGTTAGTTATTTCTATAGCTTATGTCAGACACATTTTTAACATTCTGTCAGAACAAATCTATAGTGTTCTGTTTGCATAGGGAGCATCAGACTTTGATATCAGACCAGATTTAAACTGGTGGAAAACAGTAACAGAGGACAGAAATCACAACAAATCCCACAAATTTATAATTGATTGAAAATCTGAAAAATTTTGCAGCCTCCAGACAGTTCTTATCTCCCATTATGGTGATTCCCCCAGTATCACAGGTCCTGTGTTAGCCCTCTAAAAAGCAAATGATGATGAGGAAGAATCAATATAGCCCATTGGAATGACTGAGTGGCAGGAGCAGAAGAAAGAGTTTCCCTCAGCTGCCTAACCAGTGACAGCAAAAGCTATCCTGAGACACCTTAGGCTATCCAAAGCACCTATGCAGGACCAGCAGATAGGATACAGGTCTGCTGGGAGATGCATTCCTTGTGGGAGCTACAGCTGGAGACTATGTAGGACAAGCCAAGGTACCTCAAACAGCCAGCTGAATCAGGAGCCCAGTGTGTCCTGTCTTGGCTGGCCCACTTATTTATGGGCTTTGCAGATCAAAACGAAAGCTGAGATCACTAATTTCAGAGGTGGTACACCAGAAAGTCTGCCTTTGAAACTGGTCATTTTAATTGTCCTGGGCATGGGTAGCTTTAGGAGTTTATTTCACTAGGGACAGAA